CGAATGCATCTGTGCGACGCGTGTGGGCGGTGGGTGGATGGCAGCCACGCTTCAATCCCCCTGGGAGGTTCCCACAGCGAGCCAACATCAAGAGGGTCAACTATACCCAGGAGAGTCTTTGTGATGCGGCTCCAGTCAATCACTTCTGCTTTTCAGTAATATGTCTAAATGTGAGCGCATGGTGAAAAACACCAAAGCAATCAATTGGGGTAAATTTGCAGAATAATTTAATGGATGCTTAATGACTAAAACAACATGTTATAAAGAGGGAACCTGATGCTGAATAAACATCAACTCAAATCTACAGTGAACTATTCCTCTGTCTCACTCTCCACCCAGTGGTGACCTGCTGTAACAGCATTATTCTGTTGGCTGTGAATGTCCTCCGTTAATGACAAGATGCCCTGGAAGCTTCCAAAATGAAAGTGCAACACTTTAAAAACATTTTTAAAATTATTTTTGTTTTAAACTTATTTGCACTTACATACATCCCAAAGATTTTGTCTTTCTTGGTCACCACTGTTATCTCTGCCAAGGAGGTTATGGTTATTTGTTTGTTGGATGGTTTTTATGTTTGTAAGCAAGATTACACAAAAACAACTGAGCGGATTTACACGAAACTGCTGAAAGGATACAGAATGGACCAGGGAAACATCCATTCAATTTTGGTGCGCATCCAGATCAAGGAGTGGATCCAGGAATTTTGTAACTTTCTTTAACATTGTCAGATCAACATTCTCACAGTATTTTCAGTGAATAATTATTGGATCTTGATATATTTAGGTAAGTGATATCTATGTGTGTGTGAAATTTGATGCAGATTGATTGAATTTGATGGGACTGTTGGGCCTTGGTGGAGGTATGCGCTCTACCGAGTGTCATTCTAGTTAACAAAGTCCTTAGGTGAGACAGATAATGTTTCTTGTAACAAGCATTAAAGATTAAAATGGGGGAAGGAATGTAAACGCTGCTTATAATTATGATGCCCCAGATTCCTCCAATTAAGAGTATAATGAATGGTTTGTGCTTGATATTTCCACAGCAGATTTGAATTCTTAGCCATACGTATCGTGATTTTTACCTCAAAGGAGGTTATGTTGTTTCTA